CCGTATGAGAAGACAAACATCATAGAATGGATTATTTCTTAATAATCTGACAGTATTAAAAACAACATTAAATGCATTATCCCCCATTATAGGGACCTTAGATGGAAGGTTTATATTTATTTGATGGTAAAACATATGTTATATTTTTCTACCAAGTACAGAGGGCCAGAGAACGGAACAGACAGATTACTGAAGTTACGAGTCGAAAGTGCTCATTTATGGCCCTATACATATTGCATTAGATCTAAGTAAGCATACTGTCTATCTACTGACCCATTTAATTCAAAGGGTATATGTGTGGCTTCATAAATAAAATTTAATATTTTTCCTCATTGTGACTGAACAAATTAAAGGTTTTCTGCATATATACGTTTCAGTCTCTACTTGTTTTAAAAATACACAATTTAAGATTCTTGGTCTCTCAATGTCGTAAGTTAACCTATGGAGCTCTCCTTAATTTTAGTTAGATTTTAGTTTTTTTTTTTTAAGTGCAAAAAATAAATTTTGGTGGGATGCAGGTTTTTCCCCATAAAATTGGATAAAAAGTACATAGAAATGAGGGATTGGATTCTATGCAAAGCATCAGATTAGCTCCAAAGAGTCTACAAATTATGAAATGAAGTAAAATAAAGGTCATGTATAAAATGTCTGGAAAAGACTATTCTAAAAAACACCATGTTCACCAGGAACTGGTTATTAAGAGAAACACCATGAGCACATGGTCATTTTAATCTTGGGGAGTTTTTTGGCCTGTTATTTTTAAGCTCTACAAGTGAAAGAATGTCACACTCACCATGGATACTTAGCATTAGAAGATCCAGAGAATATATATTGGCCATGTTACGGATGTCCCACCACCGTTGGATATAAGAAGGGAAAGAAAAATACTGAACACTCCTATTTCCTGTTACATGACATTCTATAGTGATTCTATAGGGACTGTTATAGCTAAAAAGATTGAATTTCTAGTATACAATACCCAATACCAATAATACACCACTACAAGTGGGTTTGAGGTGGGCCAATTCAAAATGAACTTTTTGTATTGCAGCACTTTGCTGAAGTATTTTCATGAACTGTATGAACTTCAAACCAAAGACGTTCAGCATCTTCCTATCAGTTGAGCATTTGGGCTTCTAATCTCCAAGTATTTAGAGCAGTAGATGCACATGCGATTATGCCCTGCCTTTTGAATTTCATTAAGAAATTGAAAGAGCCTTTTAACATCATGTTTGTTAGCACCGCCGGTCTTGATAAATATCCAAATTTCGTCTGCTTACTTCTCCTCAATGTTGGAAGAAATGAGGAAGGTGGGCACTGGGTGGATAGGTTCTATTTTACTTCCAATTATGAAAGAACATTTGCTAGAGCAGTTATTGGATTTGATTTACTTTTTACACCAGAAGTAGACAGACATTCTCAACATGTACCGAAAAATACAAATATGATGATTGCTCTGTATATTTCCGTTATACTAACAGTAACTTCAGAGACTGTCCTAGGAAAACAATTTCTGCAACTGAAGGAGGTGAGGAGATAATCTGCAAATGTATTTTTGGTTTTAGTTTCCTTTAAAAATTAATGATATAATTATCAAATATTTCACTTGCTTTCGAAAAAAAAAAGATCACAGAAGGGGATAAGGTATAAGAGTATTACAGTAGCAAAGACACAACCAAAAAGTGAGAATTTGTAACAGTTTATAATCCTTTTCAAAATATATTATTCAAATCCTCCAAATAAAATATGCTGGTAATTTAAAACGATGAGCGGTGATGCAAGCACAGTTTATGTGTTACAGGTATCTTGCAGGAGGGACATATGCACGGCAAGGTGATGAAAGCGATATCTAGAAAAATAGTTTACATTTCCCTGGCAAGTTATATAGGCATTTGTGTAGGATTAGTGAATTTTGTTTTAATGACTAACCTTGATGGAATTCACATTCATTTTATAATTTAATGACAATGCTGTTAGGGTGTACAAGGTAAATATACAAAGGAAAAGACAGATGAAGACTAAGGGAAGTCTAGATCAGATCTGTGGATCCCAGTCTAATTTGATATTTTATTGAGGGTAACTGTGTCTTTTCCCCTTTAATGTCAATCAATTTAATCAGCTGGCTTCCACCACAGAGATAAATTATCATTATGTGACAACTTTGTTGTGCATTTCTGCTCACAGCTCCAAAGCAACCACGTGTATGGTCATTAAATCTATGCATCAGAAAAAAATAGAACCCGGTATGTTTTAGAAATCATTCATTTTGGTTGCAAATAGGGGGCTAGGTCAATTCCAAAACTATGAGAGAAAATGTTTCTGTAGACCTGCAATCAGCTCGCTGGAGAATTTCATTTTTTTGAACACTAGATTTGAAACCAAAGTGACCTCCCCAACGTGCGGTGAAATAAACTGGCCACATATCTACCTGGTCAGTCAGATTTGAGTAATTTAGTTTCCATCTATTAATTTTCTTAAAGACAAGAAGAAGCTACCTGCACACCCCCTTATTTCCATCCTAGATGCCAAAAAAAAAAGTTTGTAAATGCATTGGCTATGTAAATGTAGTAGAAAAAACAAAAACGTGAGCAAATGTGTTCATTTTTGTATTTTTCGTATCAAAGAAGCAAAAAGAAAAGTTTAACTAAAGCTTAGAGCTAATTGAACAGTATTTTCTTAGTTAAATTTGGTTCTGGTACATTGTTTTTGTTTATTTACAATAACTGTGCTCATTCAGGTCTGTAATGACACTGCCACGGCTGAACAGAATTTGCTTTAAATATTAGTATCCAAATAAGGTCTCACAGGAGTAAATATGCAAAAATGCATATTAAAAAAAGCACTTGACTAATGACTAAGGATTAGCAAACTCTGTTACTTTATGTCATCAACCATAGTTCTCATGAATTTATAGAAGTTAATTTTCATTATTATTTTTTAAAGTAACCTAGTGGCATAAAAAAATGAATTTACCCATGTGCTCAGAATACATTCTTAGGGTTCGTAAATGAGTGTTGCAGGAGAAAAAACAAACAAACCTCAATTTGTATTTACATTTTTGAAAGTGGTGATAAAAATTTATTTGCCTACTATTTTACTTTGTGCAAGAAATAATATAAAAAACACATTTTGTGTAGACTTATTAAAGTATGTTGAATAAATTGTAGGTTGTTTTTTTTGCAACCTAAACAGGGATTCAATACTACGGTCATCAAAATACAGCCTTAAAATCACCTCAGGAAGAAAATTCTAATTCAGCTAAGGACTGGGTGAGTTATGCAGATTTACAGACTGGACAGGCTGTAGGACAACCTTGCATGTCCAAGACCTGAAGTCCGGTTGGTCTTAAGAGCAGTTCCTTGGGACTCTTAAAATAAAAGCAGAGACTTTTCTGCTATCTAATATGTATGCACGTTGCCCAATTATTTTGACTGCTGATGCAGGCACCTGCACCTTGACTGTCTAAACACATCACATACATTAAATATAATAATAATTAGTATTTTTTTAGTGCCATTCTCACAGTGAGACTTTTCAGTGCAAGCTCTCTGAATTAACCGAATCGGCAACTGAATAATAATAGATATTATTACCCAAATTGACAGTACTCATTTATCGACCTCGGAATGATGAAAGGCTGGGTTGACCCTGCCGGGATTCAGACCTGTGACTTTGTGTTTTTGAACAGGCTTTGTAGTCAGGGAATTTACCAACTCCGTTTTTCCTGCATAGAAACACAAATATTTGTATGCACAAAAATGACACATAAAAACACACTACACTTCGATATAAATATAATTATATACACACACACACACACTAACAGTTATCCACTAACCAGCAACTTCAATGTTGACAGATTTTATTTCATATTTTTGCCTAAATTAGGAGTTTTTAAAAAAACTAATAAAATCTGTCAACATTGAAGTTGCTCTTTAATGGATAAGTGAGTGCGCTGGATCTTGTGTATTGTATAAATTGTCTCACAGCTTGGCCTTAAGTTGTGGGAGTGGTGTAATGGACATTTAAAAGGGCCTCTCCTCCCCCCCTTTTCCTAACTTATCGTGATTGTTCCGACGATCAGCTGCATTACAGACTGCCATTTCACACCAAGTAACACTGGTATCGCGCGATCCTGGTAACAGTAGTGGTGTTTGCTCCCCGCTCTGCTTGTTCTCCTTGCGTTCCCGGCTGGTGACGTCACACCGGTTGGCTCGTGGTCGGGTAAATATTGACTCACATGGGCTGCTCGGCCCTCACTGGCATCATACGTCTCCTTTTTCGGTCGTTAGGGGGGAGCAAATTTCACAACGAGGTCGCTGTAACGATACCTTACCTTTTCCCTATGCAGCGCGTTGTCCTCTCTTCTTGCTTCCGGGAGACGGCACAGTCTCTCGGACGCTGGACGCTCCAAAACGCCTCTTATGACGCGGTGCATGCGCGCCGTCAGCATAATTATCCATCCAGCGGTAATTCAAGCATTGCCACGCTCCCGGCCCTTTTGGGGGCGTGGATTTAAAGCAAAAGGCACCACACTATAAAAAGGCGCCTTTTTGTTCAGCGCCCTATTGTGGTTCTTGATAGTTCCCTTTAATGCTCTTGAGATTCTTGATTGTATTTACTGGTATTTGACTTTTGGCTTTTCCCTCTCACTATTCTGCTCTCTGGTTTCCTGATTTTGGCTTGGTTATTCTCGTGTGCCTGCTTTCCGTACTCCCCTGACTCTTGGCTATTCCTTTGACTACTCCTGGGCATTTGAGTCCGGCCATTCTAAGGTCCGGTATATGTCACTTTCTAATTTACACACTGCGTGTAGGGGTCACTGTCGTGACAGTCGCTCGGTTGGGCTGTTAATGGGCACAGAGGCTCTTTGGCAGTATAGAGCCTTTGTATCCTCAGATCTCAGTCACGTTACCCGGCAGGGGGTGGGCGGGGTGTTTCCATATCACGTTATCAATCCAGCCCACATGGTACAGGCGAAGGCAAAGACGTTAATCTCGTCTCCTTTCTGATTGCCTCCCAGGATGTCGTAGAGAATCGCACTTACGCATATGGGAAAATATCGGTAGTTCTGAAAGCAAGAGACCCTAGACGCAACAAAAAGCTGTCTATCCCAGATTTTGTGATTGTTTGTGGTATCTATAGGGATGTTTTATGTTTGGTTCACCCACATAGAAGGGAAGAGCTGGACCTCTTTATTCACAAGCTGGTTGACCTAAGCAACAAATACGGTGGTACGTCCTTTTATGACTACCACCGGTCATTCACAACGAGGTTGTTTGCAGCTCTGGCACAGTACAACGTCAATACAGATTGTGCAATTTGCCCTTCTGCCACACTTTTTGGCAAATTTCTGTACAGTTTCACTGGACGTCACCCCCAGCACGGCAACCCCAAGCACCTCGAGGGTTGATAAACAGAGCATAGATAAACTAGGCTGCCCAATTGTATACCTTGGCAAGTCACAAATTTGTAACAACTTCAATGAAGGATCATATGGTTATAGTGCCGGTCGTCTGTTGCATGTGTGCTCTCACTGTCCACACATCCTTCAAAACACCTAGTGGAGTTCTTGATAACTGTTTTTTCCCCAGAGTTTCCACACAGGCCTTATCCACATGCCAGCAGGGATATTGGAGTGTAACAACCTCCTTTCAGCCATGGCCGATATCGAGGCAGTAGAGGTGCTATTACAGCTAGAGGTTGAGCAAGGGTTCTTACTAGGGCCCCCTTTTTCCAACTGGAGAACTAATCCTACTGGTCTAGTCTCTGGGAAAAACTTGTGCAAACAAAGACTGATCGAAGATCTCTCAGCACCACACTCCTCAGGGGTCCCAAGCCTTAACTCCTTAATCCCGTCAGAAGAATTCTCTTTACAGTACACCACCATTGACAATGCCATAAACGCTATCTTGACTGCAGGCATGGGGGCCTGGCTCAGCAAGACCGACATTGTCAACGCCTTTAAAGTTATTGCTCATTCACCCGTCGTTATGGCACTTGCACGGCATTAAATGGAAAGGCCTGTATTATTTTTTCACTAGACTTACCTTCTGGTCAAAGAGTAGTCCTAGAATTTTTGATACTTTCGCTGAGACATTGTGTTGGCTCCTCCTGAATACGTGCTGGTGCCATACCGTCATCCACTATCCAGCTGATTTTTTATTTATGGAGAACAATTCTTCCCCCTAGAGCAGCCTGGGGAAAGCAGTCACGGTATTTACCACACTGGGGGTACCAGTCTCACCAAAGAAAACAGAAGGTCCTGACACCTTTATTAATTTCTTAGGGATATGCCTGGATTTGGTGGCCATGGAAGCTAGTCTTCCACAGGAGAAAGTCACTAGCATCCGCCACAATATCAACCATTACATGCTTACCGGCTCATGTAACCGAAAAGAATTGCAGTCACTGTTAGGCTCACTGAACTTTGCTATGAGGGTCATCCCGCAGGGTAGAGCCTTCATCTCCAGACTCCTTAGCCTACTCCCCACATTCCCTGATGACCTAAGCCATATCGACCTTAACGCCCTAGCCACGGCAGACACTCATGTGGAACATGTTTCTAACTGGAACAGTAGAAGCATGTTTCTCCCGCAGGTTTTAGTACACTCCCCGGTCATTTGGACGGACGCAACAGCTACCACGGGCTTCGCAGCCATAGTTGGCAGGGAATGGCTCTGGGGTAATTGGCCAGTGGAGGTACTAGAAATAGAAGGTGTGAAGAAACTAGAATGTTATTCTGGACTTTTGTGTTTTATTGGTTCGGTAGCTATACCTATCGAACACCAACCACCCCCCTGGCTCATTATCTTCAAAAGAAAACCGTCAACTAAGCACTCTACGTGTGGCCGCCATTCGTATATTCGAACGCCACGTGCAAGAGAAAATGGCCATCTTGTTTGCACGAAAGGAGGCAGAGGGACTTGGTCGCCGAGTGTCTAGAACTAAAATCGGACACTCAACTTCCCGAACCCCGGTCAAAGTATATGAACGCCTGCTTCCTTTTCCCGAACAGCCAGGAGAGCTCTGTTCGGTAGTTTGATTCCTACAAACCAGGGGAACAATCGCTGCTATGAGCCAGGGGGTTCCATTTGTGCATTATTTAGTATTTGTGACTTTTCGAAATAGACTGACCGCACAGCCTAAACTCATGGAACGGTTTACGGGCAGGAGCCTCGTGTGCGGTCGGTCCAAATGGGACTTCCATAAAATTCCAAAACCCCATAACTGATCTGGGTGATTTTTGGATATGTTGGTCACACAGATCAGGGCTATCAGGGGATATAACTTTTACAGGGATTTTGTGTGTTTTGTGGTGCTTTTCAAGTTTTATGAAAAATTCGTTTTTTCTGCCTGGAGATAATTGAGTTATTACTTTATCTGACTCAATTATCTCACAGACAAAGTGGAGGGAATTATCTGTTTGTACTGGGAGTGTCACACTTGTCATTGTGTTATCATTGGTTGTAAACTTTGCGTCCCTGTCCCCCACAAGGTCCTTGTGGGAGTGCCCCTTGCATGGGGACTTGCATAAAAGCCAGTGTGGCACCCATTAAAATTCATTCCTGTTGTACCCTTCATGAAGTCTAGGCTCATGTTTAGGTAACTGTCTACTTGCCTGGAAAAACTACTTGGATGCTGCATTTATCTGGAACCGTTCGAATCTACACCCGAACTGCAGCTATAATCACTCAGGCTCAGCAGTTCGGGAGGAAATAGGCAAACAGGTTATCTACTATACCAGCATTTGTAACAGAAGGGTTCTACAGGAACTCAGCTCTTTTTGAGGTATACCCTATTGTGGTGGCAGCGGTGGCTTGGGGCCATTTGTGGTCAGGCAGAACAGTTCTGTGCAGACAATCTAGTGATTTGCCATATTATCAACAAAGGCAGCTCATCTTCATTAATGATTATGAGATTTATTAGGAAACGGACTTGGCTAGCGGACTACAATCAGTTGTACTTGGTGTGCTGCCATGTCCCAGAAGCATTAAACACTGCAGCTGATCGATTGTCTCGCTTTCAATTTCATGCTTTCAGAGAATCCCTACCCACTGCTTCACGTCTGGCCACAGCAGCCCCCCTGTTCCGGGAACTAATCACAGACTAGTCGAATTACTACAACATAGCCAGACCTTAACAAAAATGGCCCTCTCCGCTAACACTCGTACCGCATATGACAGGGGATTTTGCTTATACAGGAAATTCAAGGCAAAACATCACCTGGTTAGCATGTTTGAAATAACATCCCTGGTGGCGTTCGCCTCTTTTTGCCACCTCAAGTTAAAGCTATCCCACAACACAATTAATTTATACCTGACAGGCATCCAGCATCATATGTACTCCACCTTCCCCAACTACTCTAGTTTCCTCTCCTCATACCTTATTAGAGCCATACTTAAGGGCATATCTAAGCCAACGGTCCTACACCACAACAATGGCTACCCATCAACCAACAGTTGTTCAAAGATATGTCTGATCTACTAGATTAAGCCCCTTTCGAGCCCCTCACCAAAACCGCCATGTATCTGGCTTTTTACGGCTTCCTGAGGCCAAGGGAATTCACTATCAGTGGGCAATATAATGCACAAATCTGCCTCCGGGTCTCCTACCTTGGAAAACATCTAGATCATTACATACTTACACTACCCTTAACCAAAACAAGCCAATTGGGTCAACCTGTCCACATACCATATTACCCCACGAACAATAGCTGGTGCCTGGTGAAGGTCTTCAATTCCTTCCTCCTCACCATAACACATCTCGCCTCTCGGCCACTTTTGTCACTTCACGTGGCTATCCTCACTACGTCCAAATTCATGTTATACATACTCTTATTGTTATCAAGGCTACGCTTGAACCCTGGCAAGTATTCAGGACACTCGTCGCCTCTACGGCATCGAGCCAGGACATTCCAGTTCATTTCATTAAATCACGAGGTGGTTGGAAGTCCTCAGCATACACAACGTGCATACCCCAATCAGTACAGGAAATGCGTAAGGCATTCGTAAAAATGTCTTCTTAACTGTGATTATGTTGTATTATGTTCTTTTTCAATAAATGTATTTTGCGCATGTTATGTTTCCTTTTTGCCTACTTTTATTACTGGCCTACAGCATATGTCGGTTTCAGCACACCTCAACCAACTTGCTCCTATCTCAAGTCCTGTGACATCAATCTCACTTCAGTCACAACCGAGGTAGCCGCCAACACAAATATATATATATAAATCTTCAAGTAGATAGCACTCCAAGGTCTTGGTCCAAATAATAAAACATAGCTTTTTTTGCTTACAATACAAAAATCAACGTTTCAGTTTGATTTAGCAAACTTTCATCAGGATAAACATAACATCGTTACCACAATCATTATAAACCATAAAACAAAATTACTTTAACTCACCCCACCATAGTGTGTGTTGCTCCGAGGACGCCAAACCGGAATGCATGTGGGATGCGGCTGCGACATGTGCATGTCATCACGCGAGCGCCCACGCCGTGACATCACCCGCACCCATCATTCTAAAAAATGTAAATCAAAATTAAAGTATGTGCCCATCATTCTAAAAACTATATATTTCCAATACACATTACAGTTGTTTACAGAAATGTATGGCTTTGCTATTTAAATATGTATCACTTACTTTATACAAAATTATACTTTATGCATGAATACGTAGCACACACAATTCTGAATTAAATAAAATAAGCTTTTAAAAAAAAATAAAGTAAAATAAATAAATTATAATTAGACTTCAAACTACATAATTTTAAATCTTAAGCGCGGACTTAGGGAAAAAAACAAAACATTGATTAAACATGAATATTTCACACTAGTAACTACGTCTAATGTTGCTATTGAGCCCTCTTATCCAGCATGTTAATTAATTTCCATAAAATATCTAATAATTAAGTGTTGAAAATATTATTCGAAGACAAGGCATCAATTTGTAGAATGTATAATAGATTTGTCTTTTACTATTCCTGTGCTTCTTACTCTTATTGAATGTTTAGCATGTCTGTCATGCACTTGAACTGATGTGCTGTACTTTGTTGACATTGTTACTAGCCAAAAAATGTAAAAGGCCTGCCAAATAACCTTGTACCTATGAGGATTCAAGTTAATTTGGCCAGAATGGACAAGAGAGGATGAGAGAAGCCTAGAGAGAGGGGGCACAGTAAAGATGAAAGACTTGACACAAGGCCAAAGAATGTGGCTTGGATTGAAGAGTCAAAGAGCAGATGATGAATTAGAGGTTAAGAG